CTGCTGAATCAGCCGAGAGTTCAAGAGATGAGGATGAGGATCCGGATTCACTTTTTGAAGAGGGAATAGCAGGCGCAAGGGAAATGCTTGCTTTAGGAGTGAGTACCAGGCGAAAGTCTTCTTAGGATTCTGCTGGAACTGTTTTCTCTAAAGGTAGTGAAGTGAGCCGAGGAGAGGAAGCATCCTGTTCACCAATCCGATCTTGTTTCAGAAGCTGGTAGAGAATAGAATAGGCTGTGATGCGGGGAGAGATTTTCACTCTTGAGAGATCCTTTGAATACGACCAGGGGGATAGAAGAAGATAGTAGGCTAAGCCGGAAAGGGAGAGAGTTGAGTTAGATCCGATGCCATTGAATTAGTCCAGTAGCTTCTCTTTTGAAGGAATTCCCTACTCTTTCTCTGATTGAATCCTCTGCCCAGGTAATCTCATGGAATCACTACTTGAATAGAGAATCGAAGGTGAATCCCTTCTTTTTCCGCTTCTTCACCGCGTAGGTCAAGCTTTGCTTCTCGGCTTCATTGCTGTCACCCGGTCGATACTATCGGAGCTTCTTGATAGTGGGGTAGCTCTGAAACCTAATCTAATGAGTGGGGTACCGCTCCTCTACTCGTACTCGCTTGTCGACTCTCTTCCCGAGGAAATCAGGTGAGACTTCCTTTCTCGCTTTGAGGCTTGCTTTGATCAGTCTGACACAGCCCCTTTTGTCACAGCGGATTCTCTTTCAGAGTCTGAGCGCTAATCTTCTTCTGACCGTACTTCCCGAGGGGATAAAACTCAACTCTGACTCTTCCCTTTAGTTTGGTTGTGTTTGAAAAAGATGCTGCTGACTTGGCTTAAAACGTCAAAGGCTATGACCTAGAGTATGAGCTGCTCCGAATCTTGCCTCGTTCTTTGGGTTTGTTTGCCTTCCCCCTCAACCGGCCATAACATAAAAGGAAGAGTTTTCGCTCCAGGCCTGTCATCGTGGGATCTCCTTCTGCTCGTCCACTCGGGGATGACCCCCACAAGACTGACGTTGGCTACACTTGTTTGATTGCTTGATGGCTTGGGCGGTAATCTTCTCTATTCATCTATCCATCTACTGTGATCTCTGACTCAATTCCTTAAAAAAGGGCGGTTTCACTCATTCCTCGAGGCCTCAGATCAGACCTTCAGGAACCCGAACGAAAAGAAGGACTTGTCCTGTACGCTGCTGATCTCGTGATGACTACTCAATCCATTGCGTATTAAAAGATCATGGGCTAAAGAATCCATGGGGCAAAATCCATCTCTTGGAATCTCTATTTTCGCTAAACTTGCTTGCTTTCTTGCTACTATCATCGTATTAGAAGACAAACTGGGTTCCATTGATATGCCCGGTTTTTGGGCCTACCACAGAAGGTGGACTGCAAGATGGTTTTGACTTTGCCAGTTCATGGCAAAGCCAAATCAAGCTAATGTTTGGAAAAGGATGTGGTAGATACTAAAAAATCCTGCAGCCTTTAACTCGAACTCCCGTTACCGCTGTCCCTATTGGCTTGTCTCCATTCGTTTGCTTTCCCGGATTGTGCCATCCTATTAGCCTTCCCATGTTTGCCTTCCTTTCACTCCGGCGTATAGCCTGTCTTGTCTTGTAATTATTAATTAGTAATTGGCTGATTAAGATCAACTGCCTCCACCATTGGTTGTTCTTAATCTCAATCCCGTAGGAATTCTCTTGGTCTTGATAAAACCAGATCAGGATCAATTGCTGCTATCATTCCTTATGCTTCTGCGTCCCATACCCCAACCCCCTTAACTAATAGATGCTATAGTTGGGGGGCCATATGCTAAACCCAGCCCCAGAAAAAAGTAAGTTAAGGGGCTTCGGCTCTTGGAAACCCGTACACTGCTCCTGGTCTTGGTATTGGATCCGCTTTTCTATTGTGCCCTTCTGGCCGGTACCACATCAATTCGAACGAAAAAGATGGTGTTTGACTAGGGATCCACCCATCTCATAAGGAAAGCCTGAAGGCCCTAGCTTGGTTGCGGGGGAGAAAGACTAAGGATCAGTCTACTGGGACCTAGAGGAGATAGAAGCTGTAGTTAGTGAGTTGCCTGCCCTCGGGCTGAACTGCTGACTCTAGAAATGACTTATTAAGTTAAGAGTTGCCTAGCAATGCTCAAAGATCTCGCCTAGCGGGAAGGATTGCTGTTAGATTCTATACCAACGCATTCTCTCCGGAAAGTCGAATCGCAAGGGTACGAAACATAGCTATTCAAAGCAATCTACCCAAGCCAATATACCTGGCTGGTAAGGAAAAACTATCAGCTTCTTCAACTTAAACAGCCCTCCTTTTCCATATCTTCTTAATATTCTAGCTCGCTCCTCTTCTTCTTTGGATTCTTTTTTCTTTATGTTCACCTGAGCTAATTCTCTACTTGCTTTCGAACTAACTTGGCTTGGTGCCGGAAATGGAATCACAGCAAGAGAAAGGGCTAATGGTTGGTTCTGTCTACTATATTTTAGTATGATTGATATTCTCGAGGCGCTTCTTCTCTCCCTTAAGAGGCGGGATAAGAAAGAGAGAGGAAGACTTTAAATTGAAATATCTGTTAATTTCTTCTTCAATTGATTCCTAACAGGATTGACAAATGTCACTGTGCGTAACACATCTAATTGGAAGTGGAATGAAGATAATGCGCTTTACTCTTTCATTTGTAGCTGGATTACCCCGGGTTAACTTGAATCTGTTCTTTTTAGTTTTTCACTAAGCCTCATCCGAGGAGTCGCTCCTTGATTACTTCTCAAATCAAATTAACATTATTGAATTGAATCACTTTCTCTCTCCGTTTAGTAGACGCCGTGGAAGTAACAGTAGTTTTAGCAGAGTAAGCTAGAAGATGACCAACCCCACCCCATCATGATTAGTGGATACTCGGATGGCATATGATTCACTAGCGCAGGCGAGAGAGTTAGCCTTGGCTACTTTACTACGACTACGCCTATGAAAGAGACGACAGACGAACACCAACGCCTAACAATTCTTCTATTTTATTGGCTGCTGATTCGCACGAAGCTGGTCCCTCTGCCTCTGAGGAAAGGAATGAAGATAAAGGAAGCAGCTTTCTCACTTGCTGCAAGGAGAGAACTGACCTCTAACGTATTAACAGGTTGAAAGCGCTTATCCTAAAACTGAAACTAGATAGCAGGGAATGCGTTAGGTTATAATATATAGGCTGAAAAAGAGTGCTACCTTTTAGATTGCCTTGAATTATCAGTTTCAAAATGTCTTAAGAAAAGTTAGGCCCTTAGACAGACTGTTAGCGCTTGTTAGGAAGGGGAAGACTAGAAATGTTAGCTTCTTAAGAAAGGTAGGACTAGTTCTTCTTCAATTGCGAAAACTGCTTATTCGAGAACAAGAAAAGCTTCTTCCTTGGCACAGCTACCAGCCAAAGCAAATCGATTTCATGTCGGCGTAAAGGTCTCAACGAGCCTTTCCGTTAATTCAATATCTGTCTCGTTCCCCCAGCCCTACTGCTCCTGTTAATGCTACTGCTTCCTTTTCATTGTCTTAATGGCACAATGGCACACATCTTCTAGTCGGCAGAGAAGGAACTGTGGGACTTTCAGACAAGGAATGCCCTCTTACTGTTCGAAAAGAAGCTTTATGTCGCATATACGATGTAGCATCTTTATACTCCGAATCTCAAGTATTACCCTTGCTCTAGCCCTAGCTTTCAAAACTTGTTTGCTTGAACTCACTTGATTGAGTAGTTTCCAGATTCCTAGCTTCCTTGAAAGAAAATACTGCTTGTCCTACACTTTGTTATACAGCCCGGACAAAGGAGGAGGGATGAAAGAACTTAATGGAGAGGTATACAGACTGACACACGCTATCACAAGAGATTACAAAAGCCTTTAGAACAGGCCTGTTCTTTTAAGCTACTCCAATTTCAACTGCCACGGAGGCTCGCCCCACCATGTCTTAAGCATACGAGTCAATTAGCTCAAACCCCAGGAGCTGTAAAGGGTAAAGATGCATCAGGTTGATCGTCTGTGCAAGTTAGGACATGAGTTCCGGTTCGCCCAAGGAGTCTTTCCTATTCCCTCAAGACAGATTCGAGTTGGCCAGTGGATGGAATCTTAATTGCTGTTCTACAAAGTGCTAGTCTTACCTCAGAGAGTCAAAGGTCTAGTCTTACCAGTGAGTCTGGCCCTGGCAGAGTATAAGCATCGTCTGAGGGTCAGGCTTATTATATCTTTCCAAGACTTGCAAAGGGAGAGGTCTCTTAGTACAAAGGTACTGGAGATTGACCGTCTGATCTCTCAGAAAAAGAAGAAAGAAGATGAGGAGCTACTGTAAAAGACTCGGCTGGGGAAGTTGGAGCAGGAAGGGCAGTGGCTGGCCTACCTAAGAAAGGAGACAGTCTAATGACCGGGGAAAGACCTATTCCTATTACAGCCAGGTTCTCGGATGCTTCAGTTGTAGAAGAAGTTGGACGACTCAAAGATCGAAAAGAGGAAAGAGAGGGGTCCTCGGAAAGTCTTGACTGGCTTACAGCCCTATATGATGCTGTGGAAAAGTCTCTTGTGCTTACTCGGTCTCCTTCTCTATGAGTCTCTTCCCCGACGGTGTCATATAAAAAGGTAGCTGAGGGACTGGGATCTTATTCCCTTTTGAGGGGAGGTGAGCTTTGACACGTTACACCTGGTTGCACGTAATCTTGACTTTCGCCTTTCACTCGTGCAGTTGGACTGACTAGTGACTTTAAATTAAACCTTGAGACCGAGCCCGAGGGCTTCTTACTGACCTTCATTTCTTAATGGAAAGAAAGCACCTTGTCTTACCCAAGGAATCTCAGTCCATATGTACCAAGAAGTAAATCAATAGCATGCTGGATATCCCTCATGGGTGGTAATTCACTAGGAAGCTCATCAGGCATGACATCAGGGAACTCCTATAACAACTTACGTACCTCGGGAGGGAAATCAGACTTAGACTCAGTGGAATCTGGAGGAGTCTCCCTAGCTACAATAGCTAACCTCCTCAGCCCCTTCTTATTAGGGTGGTTTACTCGCGGGAATGCGATGTCGAAAATAAAGGATTGAATGGATGAGCGGAGCAGTGAGTGTAAGCGAACGGACCGGGCATGTGATATGCTTGGGGGTGGTTTTCTTTGATGGAGATGTCCTGGTGTCAGCAACGAGAGCAATGAGAGCAAATGAGGCGGGGATTTCAGCGAAAGGAGACTATGGTTTCCGTGTATGGTATGTGTGGATTGTAGCGCAGAACAGGGCTTGACAGGAAAAGTAGTGAAATGGCAAAATAGGAAGTCTCACTATAGGCTAGGAGCCTTCGATTAGCTCGGCTTGTCCTATGTTTGAGCTTAACTCATCGTATCGGCTCTTGTGTAAGGGTTGACCTTAAGAGCTCTGGTCTAGCGGCCGTTAGATGTCCTTTATAGCCACCGTTACGGAATTGTAAAGAAGGGATGGTTTAAAGCCAGTCCAGAAGACCAAGATCCGAACCTTTGGATCTTCTTTCTTGAAGCTAGGATTTTTGCAAAGGAAGCGACCTTACCTCAATTGTCAGCTTCACTCGAAAGAGAAAACGAAACCCTCAATCCGTTCATTGTCAACCGCCCGCTTAGAAGTGGATTCGAGCCACTGACACAGCTCCGGACTAGGCAAAAGTCTTAGTCATTCTGACCCACTCCTTTCAAACATCTCATATTCGTGTGAGTCACCTTAACTTAGAAAGTGGAATGAAAGGCTTCTTCGATGGATATCTTTATAAAAAATTCTAAGCTCCAGATGCTGCTACCGGGTTTGGAATAGACCACCTATCCGATCTTGATTTCATTCTCCCTTCCATACGTAATTTATTGATGACTAGCCGCATTGAATCGAAGAGGGCTTCCCAGGTTGCATTCAAACCTACGCTATGACCTATCATTTACTTAAAGTGCACAGCCGATCGCTCCACCACTGAGATACTGGGACGAGAGGTGGTTGCCTACGACGTTTTCATCACTACTAGCTTAGGTGACGGGAGGAGTTCAATAATCCGGGACTTGACATGGATACGAGGGCACATCCCCTCTTTCAAACAACATTATGTCTGACGAGAACAAAGCGCATGATTGGCTCTCTATTCAGCTTCTTGGCTTAGTAAGCTCTTCTTTCAGGCGCTCCTGTCCCTTTCCCGGATCAAAGAATTTTTTCTTTGCTTGAGGGAAATCTGTAGCACTGGACTTCGATTCGCCTTTCTTACACGATTTTAAGTAACTTTAGGAAAGCAATGGACCATTAGCCGACAGATGGAATCCTCGCTAAAACCGAAAGGAGGACAACAACAAAGACTTCGAAAGCTTTATAAAGGATAAGCTTGCATTCTAATTCTAGAAGCGGTAGCTTCCCGCAAAAAGTACACCTCTCTAATTGGCCACCTTTAGAGTCAAACCGATGTCGTTCTCTAATCCTCTGAGCTACAGGCCCCACCTCGTCTCCACTGGATCTGCTCCTAGGAGTCCCCTAAAAAAAGGAGCTTTCCCCCTCCCCAGCCATTTCGGGTTAAGAAGATGTGAAAGCGCCTTTCTCTCTATAAGAACGGTGCGCTCCGA